CAACAAAACAAACCCCCCCCCCCACCCCCCATGTATTACTTTTTTTAAAATCTCATTAATTTTCAGCCAATTTCATTATTTTTAAATACTTGGAGCTGGCAGTGCTGATTGGTTGTTTCTCTGCTGTTTTTCTCTTTCTCTGTCATGCTGATGCAGGATTTATAATGTGTACTCCACACAGTTTCCATTGTAACAAAGCTAGTGTGAAAAGTTTGGGGGAGGAGGGAAGGGAACAGATCTGTGTTGAAAGACCAGAAATTGCGTCTGGATCTCTGCCATGTTTTTGGTTAGGAGTGTTATGTTTACAACATGCACACACAAAGAAGTGAGATAAAAACACAAATATTCTTGCTGGAAGGTTGCAACGTAACACAACTTTTATTCTTTATCCAGAATGATAACCCACGCTAGCCAAAAACAGAGAAAGACAAAGCAGGCTGCTCCATAAAACAGAGGCATAACTCACCCCACCTTACCATGGGCTACCTGGTTGCAGACTGACTCTGATCTCACCCTTCCCTACACAGTGCCCTTGCCGGCAAGCAGGACCAGGAAACCTCTGGGATTTAAAGTGATAGCTACACAATTTAATATAGTTTTCCATACACCACAGAGAGGAAGTCAAGGGGTTGATTGTTCCTTGACAATAGAGATGCAGCACTGGTAAAACTAGGGTTACCATTCGTCCGGATTTACCCGGACATGTCCTCCTTTTTGTACTAAAAATAGCGTCCGGGGGGAATTTGTAAAGCACTCAAAATGTCCGGGATTTCCCCCCTCCCCCGGCAGAGCAGAGCGAGCGGCTGGGAGGGCTGCAGGAAAGTCCTGGGCTGGACTCCGGAGCAGCTGTAGAGGACCTCCCCCCTGCATTCTGAGCAAGTGTCTCAGCACAAAGTGCAGCCCTCCCCTTTTGCAACTGGGAGCGGTTTCTGCCATGCAGCGTAGCAAAACGGGAGCGAGAGCACTTTGTGCTGATACAAGGGCAGCTCTCCCCTGCAGCCCGGTCCGGGCCAGGGACCAGGTTTTGTTGTGCTGGGGAGCTCAGCCACGTGTCCGGCTCGCACAGAGCCCAACACCCTGTTCTGAGCAGCAGGGTAAGGGGGCCAGGGGGCAGGAGAAGGGGCAGGGAGGTTCTGGAGGGGGCAGTCAAGAAACAGGGGGGGGGCTTTTTTGGGGGGAGTGGAGAAAGTTTTGGGCAGTCAGGGTACAGGTAGGGGGTAGGGTCCTGGGGGGGAGTGGGGGGGAAGGGGGGGGGGGGGGGGGGGGGGGGGAGTGGAGAAGGTTTGGGGCAGTCAGGGTACAGGTAGGGGGTAGGGTCCTGGTGGGCAGTTGGGGGGGGGTCTTAGGAGGGGGCAGTTAGGGGCAGGGGTCCCAGGAGGGGGCAGTCAGGGGACAAGGAACA